TATACGTGTTTGATATTAAATAATCTAAAATTACGTGTTCTTTTCATTTACACAGCTTTATGACTCCTTTCCTTTGATCAGAAGCCTGCCACTGCCCTTCAGACAGGCCTTTAAGAACGTTGAGGTAGGTTAATCTCTCTCTCTCTCTCTCTCTGCATGCATTTTGTCAATTAAAAGTAGATTATAAATTATGAATGTTGACGTGAATGTTTTTCAGACATGTCAGAAGATTGCAAAAACTTTGATGAATGAGCACAAGCAGACCAGAGTGCCTGGAGAGCCGCGCGACTTTGTTGACTGCTACTTGGATCGGCTGGATAAGGTGAATCATTGAACACAGAAAAGATGGGTACATTTTTGAATAATGCAAACTTGTTTTTTGGCAAAAGCTTAGGATTGGGAGGTGGGGGAGGTGCAGGGGGTTGGGTGAACTGGCCAGCCAGCGTTTCTGAGATAGGACTGAGACAAGGAGAAAAGGCGATGTCATGATTTTGCAGTAAAACATTTTAGATGTCGGTATGATTATGAACGATTTAATATTGCCCTTAAAGTTCGAAGTTTCACATTTGCATTGTCATTCTCCTCTCTTTAGCCGGGTGATGATCGGTCGTCCTTTTCAGAAGAGCAGTTGACTATGTACATTCTGGATCTTCACTTTGCTGGGACTGACACTACTTCCAACACTCTCCTTACTGGTTTCCTCTACTTAATGAACTACCCACAAGTACAAGGTATGCAAATATTCTACAAAGGAATGCTCATAATTGTTTGTATCGTAGATTCTTTTATACAGAAATACTTTTTGTAAAAGTCCTGAATTGAAAAGGTATTTTTTTTGGAACACGTATCAATTGTCTCATTAAATGAATGTCTCTTTCTTAAAAAGGGACAGCACAGCCTTGGGGAACTGTTTACCGGTCAGGTGTCTTTCCCAAGCACACTGTGGCATGCTGGTTGATGATGCCAGGGAGGGAACTATTGTGCTTCCGAATTGATGTAAATCGACCCTACCTCTTAGCCCTAACCTATCAGTGACAAGATGCAACTTGTAGCCACAAATATGCAGAAAGCTCTCACTCCAGTTATGAATGATTAGTGTAGTGTTTGTAATAGCAATAGATCAAGTGTGTCCCTGCAGTAAAGGCTTTCAGTTTTTCCCCCTCAACAATTTTCACCTTTGAGACAATAAGATCCACCCTCACGAGTGTACCACGGGTCATTGTTAGAGGCCTTTGGCAAATTCCAGAAAGACAGCCTCTTCAACAGAAAGCAGTTTGAAGTAGGAAATTGGCAGGTGTAAATAATTAAATCAACGATTGCTGAATTCCATTGGACTGCTTCAGTTTCAGGGCTGTAGTTAGTAGTTTAGTAGTTTCACCAATGCGTCTCAAAGAAGCCTTAATAGCTGCTAACTATGCACGTGTATATGGTCAGCTAGTTCACCCTGAGTCATGTATCAGTTTCTGAAAAAACATATTTGGTTCATAGAGGAAAGTACTGATTGAAGCCCGGCTGATGAATAGGTCATGGAAAATATATAGGTGTCGTTGTGTATGAAGGTCGGTAAAACACAAGAAAAAGATTCTTTAGTTTACTGACGCGATCAGTTTGAAGTCTGGTTTCTCATAAATGTCTTGTCCGGTATATTTCTTCGTCAAAGTTGAAAGAAGCCATATCAAAGCGATTTCATTCACGCTACATTAACATTAATGTCAACAGATATGTAAAATATGAATGTCTACATTGTTCGGGCTAGAGCAGAGACACCTACTTGCGAACGAAACCAACTAACCTTCTTCACCATTCCCTGAAAATCAGGTCATTTCTAGCAGTGAAAAAAAGTACATTACATGACATTTAGCTGACGCTTTTAACCAAAGCGACTTACAATAAGTGCTCAGAAGACTTTTTAATGACTTTGTTATTTATCGGGGACGCCACGTATTAGGATGAATTCCTCTCCACTATCGCATAGGTTTAACATTGATCCACTCCTATAATACTATTTTCCAATGTATCAAAAATATTGCAAATTAGTTTCATCATCCTTCATGTTTCTGTCAGAGCGTTGTCAGCAGGAGATAGACATGGTGCTGGAGGGAAAGGATCAGGCCAGTTCTGAGGACAGAAACAACATGCCTTATGTGCAGGTAAATCCCACACTTTTCTCATAGCCAATAAATCTTGGATTCAATATGTTCACCCGTGGGTACATCCTTGGGATAAATTCAATTCACATTTCACATATATACCAATCCTCGTGCCAGTTCCCATTTTGCTGCTTTTTTTGTGTGGCTGATCTTTTGAGAGCCGGTGTTTAAGTATGGGAACATGATGTTTAAATATTTCTTCATCCAGGCCGTAATCCATGAATTCCAGAGAGTAGCCAACACTGTTCCACTCAGCGTCTTCCACTGTACAACTAAAGACACAGAGCTCAATGGATATTCCATCCCCAAGGTAAGAAGCAACTGGTCCTGTCTTTTCTGTCACTATTGTGTAAAACAATGTAGGCGTCTCTGCTGAGAATGTACATCTCTGTAAATTATTCATTCCTCTTTTGATTCATGTCTTGTCCACAGGGTACTCTGATCATCCCTAATCTCACCTCAGTGCTGAATGAGGAGGGCCAATGGAAATTCCCAAATGAATTCAACCCTGAAAACTTCCTCAATGACCAGGGAGAGTTTGTGAAACCAGAGGCCTTCATGCCTTTCTCTGCAGGTATGTATGTTCCAATTCTCGTCAAATCAATTATATTCATGTAGACCAGGGGTCTCAAACTCAAATCAGCTGCGGGCCAGATGCAGCCCACTTCAACCGAACGCGGGCCAGACTAGCGTCCGAACGGCATGGTCGACAATAACACAACTTAACACTCACTTTCAAAAGCAGTCATTGAACCCCACCCTGGGGGATCGGTCCGAATGAGACTACAACACTAGTCCTCCTTTAACTCAGCGGGGGAGACCTAAGGTCATGTGACCGTGGAATTCCTTTATAGCCAAACGTGAAGTTACGTGAATCGAAGCTGCGTAGTAATGGACGGAGACGCTCGTCGGTGACGTCAGATGCTTCATGTGTTGTTAGTGTGAGTCGTAAAGGAAAACTTTATTAAACGAGCGATGCTAACGCTTAGTCACATGATCACCTGCGCGAAAGAGGGCAGGAAACTGAATTTCACCCTCCTGCTCTCTGCACCTCGGCCGACACACACGACCCGCCCCCCATGTCAGTCACATGCATGACACGTTCACTGGACAAGCACACAGTAGGAAACCAGAACATCATAACATGTCCCACACAGCAGCTGACAGTGGGGTTACAGTATAAAACTTGCGGGCCGCACTAACATTACACTTTCATATTAAGGATGGGGCCACAAAATATCGGCCCGAGGGCCGCAATTGGCCCGCGGGCCGCGAGTTTGAGACCCCTGATGTAGACCAATATCACAAGATACGAAATGGCCTGAGGTGGCTTCAGAATCTGTATAATATGCAACACTGGTTGTCATGTAGAACGTCTCTATAACCTACTCTAAAAAGGGGGGAAAGTGTTACTCTTAAAGCTTTATCCACTCTGTTCTGGGAGCCCAGTGTTTTAGTGGGGCGTTGAGGGTAGAGAGTAGTGGGGGTAGGAGAGCATAAGAAACAAACAACACTGTGAGGGTAAGTGCATGACTATGAGCTCTTTTTTATATTGTATTCTGTATGTCTCAGGCCCTCGGATGTGTCTCGGAGAGGGTCTGGCCCGTATGGAACTCTTCCTGTTTACGGTGACGCTGCTGAGGAAGTTTAAGTTCATCTGGCCTGAGGATGCAGGAGAGCCAGACTTCACTCCAGTCTATGGGGTCACTCTGACTCCCAAACCTTATCGCATGAAGGTCCAACTCCGGGTATCGCAGAAAATCCCAAATTTATAGATTGTTTTAACCAACCAGCAAACAACATGATCTGATCTGCACTTACTTGTCACCTACATACATCACCTTTAACAATTAATAGAACATATACTTGTTTCAAAAGCATCACTGGTGAATGCTACATTTTACTCTTATGCTTATATAAATATGTATAACACTAGCTTTATAGTGGTGCTTTTAGTTTAAGAATAAATACGAAAGTGGGATATTAATGAATCATTTGGTCTAGCGTGTCTGTTTTTTGTTATACTACACACCATAATTTTGCTGTGGAACAGGTGAAAACTACTACGTGGCATGTGTAGCAATGGTCTTTTAAAATTACTATTTTGAGTTTAAATTGCTTATGACTTTAGTCAATTCACCAATAATGTACATGGTCGAATGGTTTATATTAGCAATACAAAATATTGTTATTGTTTGATCAAAAAGTGAAAGTGGGTGTACCAATCTCAGAGGGGTTGAACGGCAGCGGACAGTGAGGGGATCGATATAAAAGGAGCAGAAGTGGCCATGCATGCCTGAGGACCGTTCTGACAATAGCAAAGTCATCCGGCTGGACTATGGCGGGCCGGATTTGGTCTGCGGGCCCCAAGTTTGACATATGCGCCTTACATTAATCTATCAAAGAATATGAAAATACAGTTCTTTTCACAGAGAAATAACAAATGACTTACAAACATGTTCAGTTTAAGAATCTGTATTATGGTACCACCTTGTGGTAGCAATGAAAGATGTCATCAAGTATTCTCAGCAGAACGCACCTCCGATGACAAGCACTGCATATGATGTGTTATTCATGACAGTACAAAGAAAGTAACATGCACATTAAAATATTTCCGGACACAGTTGTCTATCTCTCTGTATTCCTCAACGTTGTCAGCAGGAATAAGATGTTGGACAGGAAGGACTGTTTGGTGACAGCGTGTCTTTCATGTAGGCAGTCATTAATGAGATGCAGGGAATGACTGACAGTTTTCCACTTAATTGATGATGGTCACGTAAAGGAATGTGTTCTTTACAGAGAGTGAGGTGGCTCTTAAAAGAGCCGTTGTTGCGAGTAGAATCAGGGGGTTTAAGCTCGCTCTCCACGGATGCGACGGGCCAGCTGGATGTCTTTGGGCATGATGGTGACCCTCCTGGCGTGGATGGCGCACAAGTTGGTGTCCTCGAACAGGCCCACCAGGTAAGCCTCGCTGGACTCCTGCAGAGCCATAACAGCGGAGCTCTGGAAGCGCAGGTCGGTCTTGAAGTCCTGAGCGATTTCTCTCACCAGACGCTGGAAGGGCAGCTTGCGGATCAGCAGCTCCGTGGACTTCTGGTAGCGACGGATCTCCCTCAGAGCCACGGTACCGGGCCTGTAACGGTGAGGCTTCTTCACGCCGCCGGTGGCCGGGGCGCTCTTACGGGCGGCCTTGGTGGCGAGCTGCTTCCTTGGGATGGAAGATGGATTCACTTCAGAGAAAGTAACAGGAAGACAAACAGGCAAGATTACAGAATGAAAAATAAGGATTTGACATTTTAAATGAGCAACAACTCTTATTCAATACAAATATTAAATATAAAATATTCCTTTAGAATTTAAGTTAATGGTAGCATGAGATGGGTAATATAAAGGTTTCAATAACTGGATGCTCTTTCGTAGGCTGTGACAATCAAAAACATGTTTTCTACTTTACGCAACATTTGGATGCTTTTTTATAATAAAGACCACTGAGTGTCTGACGAATAAGGTAGATGTATTATACAAGATTTCTTTGTAGAATAGTCACGCTGACTAAAACTTTAACGTTTAAAGGATAAAATCTCTTTAAGGAAGGATTGAGCCTTTAATAGAGGTGTTGGTTCTTCAGACTGATTTCAGCTCATTTCTTCTTGGCTGCTGCTCCACATAATTGAGGGGATTTTTTGCCATTTGTGCCTTATCTGCTCCATGTTGAAATAGCTTCACACTTAGTCTACAACTATTTCCTGATGGGTTTTTTAAATGTATTATAACAGTATTTACTTGAAATGGTCATAATTCTTAAATTAGAATCTTATACATGTTTAATTGAAATGTACATTTTCTCCATTAAAAAAAAAATGTTCAGTGATGATGGATGGGCCAAATTCTGGAGTCTGAGCAACATTTGGATGCTTTTGTATATCAAAGAACTGCAGGTGTTGTCTGTGAACACCATATTTCCTTATGAAATGGTCTTTAGAAGCTCATGTTGGCTGAATCAGAAAATGGTGGATTTCCTAATTTCCCATCAGCAGTTGTATAGTTCAATTAAATACAGTAAATTAAAAATAATTTTAAGAAGTCAAAACACTATAAAGTCTGAAAAAAATAAAGGAAAAGCTCTTTGAGGAAGGAGTGGGTGGCTCTTAAAAGAGCCTTTTATAGAAGTGTTTGTCACATCAGTTTACTTCTTCTTGGGTGCTGCTTTCTTGGCTTTGGGCTTAGCGACCTTCTTCACTGGGGTTTTCTTGGCTGCAGGGGCCTTTTTCACCATCTTCTTAGGGCTCTTGGCCACCTTTTTGGGGCTCTTTGCTACCTTCTTGGGGCTCTTGGCCACCTTCTTGGCCGCTGCGGGTTTCTTGGCCTTCTTCGGTGACTTCTTAGCGGCTACAACTTTCTTCACTGCCGCTGCTTTGGGCTTTTTGGCCCACAAGGTTCTGTACTTGGACCAATTTTTTACCCTCTATATGATTCCTTTGGGCCATCTTATCAGGAAACACCGCATAAACTTCCATTGTTATGCAGACGATACTCAACTGTATTTGTCGACCAGAAGAGACCGACCAGCTTGTCTTGAAGACATTAGAACTTGGATGACCGGCAACTTCCTGATGCTAAACTCAGAAAAAACAGAAGTTATCTTGATAGGCCCAGAGCCCCTTCGAAGTCAGCTGTCACGTGATACACTTTTTATGGATGGAATTGCTCTGGTATCAAGCAGCACTGTCAAGAATCTTGGAGTTCTCTTAAACCAAGTTATGTCCTTCAAATATCATATTAAAAAAGACTTCAAGGACTGCCTTTTTTCATCTACTTAATATATCGAAAATCAGGAACTTTCTGTTTAGAAGTGATGCAGATAAATTAGTTCATGCGTTTGTTACTTTTAGACTGGATTACTGTAATTCTTTGTTATCAGGCTGCTATTGTAAATCTCTTAAGCATCTCCAGTTGATTCAGAATGCTGCAGCATGTGTATTAACAAGAACTAAGAAAAGGGATCATATTACTCCAGTATTAACTTCGCTGCAGTGGCTCCCTGTTAAATCAAGAATAGAATTTAAGGTACATCTCCTCACCTACAAGGCACTTGCTCGTGAGGCACCGTCTTATCTTAAAGAGCTTGTAACACTGTATTGCCCTACAAGGCAGCTGCGGTCCATAGATGCTAGGTTACTTGTTGTTCCTAGGGTTTTAAAAAGTAGGATGGGATGGCCAGAGCCTTCAGTTATCAAGCTCCTCTTTTGTGGAACCAGCTTCCACTTTCAGTCCGAGGGGCAGATTCGGCCAGCTCTGTTAAGATAAAGCTTAAAACTTTCCTCTTTGATTCTGCCTATAGTTAGGGCTGGCTCAGGTTAGCCCAGACCAGCCCTTAGTTAAGCTGCTATAGGCTTAGCCTGCCAGGGGACTTCTTAGGACACACCAAGCTCCTCTCTCACGCTTTCTTTCTACAATAATCCACGTTTTATTAATGTACATGACTTATTCAGCTTCTTTCCGGGAGTTTTTTGTGCTTTCTACCCTAGCAGGTCTCCATAGATCATAGTTCCTTCTGGACCCTGGTCCTGACACCTGCTGCTGTCATCATCATCATCATCATCATCATTATTATTTTAAATATTAAATCATATTACTGTCATCATAAACCAACATTACCCTCTCCTAAAGACTTTGTGCTTTCCCTCCCCCAGGTTTCTGTGGATGGTGGTCGTCCCTGCAGTGGTCCTGCCGTGGGCCTGGCTTGCTACTCGCAATTATTTGAATCATTTCTGTCATAGGAAATAAATGTATTATACATCTTTTACATTTTTCATTCTGTACACATGACATCCATTGTAGTCTGTCCATCCCGGGAGTGGGATCCGTCCTCTGACTTTCTCCCTAAGGTTTCTTCCCTTTTTTCCCCATGGAAGGGTTTTTTTCATTTTTGGGGGAGTTTTTCCTTTGCCGATGTGTGGGTTTCGGGACAGAGGATGTCGCATGTGTACAGACTGTAAAGCCTTCTGACCGATACAAGGGTACAACAAATAGTTTAGATATCAAACACAGCCAGCCAGTCCACACATCCGCAGACATTGAATAGTGAGGATTCTCACTACAGTGCTATAAGGGTGATGTACACCGACACACTTCAACGCCTTCACTAACAAATGGGATGTATAACTTACATGCCCCTTTTTAGTGAATGATTCGACTCAAGATAAAGAACTACATTACCTCAATATGGTTGATCAGGGTACAAAATGAGAGGAAAAAATCTCTTTTTTCCACGCACGGCCATCCCATACTGACACAAATGTGGCCATTCACTTTTTGGAGAAGTAAATACACTAAATGAATCTCTCTCAGACACAATTTATGTGAGAGCCAGAACATTCGATTTATTAGGAAATCCTGAATTAGATGAACTGAAACGAACGTTGTTGGTACTTCAAGGATTCATTCATTTAGAAGACGGTAACTGCTGGGAACAAAAGCTCAGCCGCGCCTCTAGAAGCGAGTCTCCGCTGCTCATTGGTGGAAAATGATTTCAAACTGTCCGCCAGATATCAGCGGTCCCGCCCTCTGCTCTCGCGCCTGGAGCCTCTTCTCTGGTTGGTGCGCGCGTCAGGAACCGTCCCGCCCGCTCCGCGGACATATAAAGGAGGGTTGGACGCGTTCGCCGACATTTCCTTCCCTGAAACAGTCTAACAATGAGCGGCAGAGGTAAAACCGGTGGAAAGGCCCGAGCGAAGGCAAAGACCCGCTCCTCTCGTGCTGGACTCCAGTTCCCAGTCGGTCGCGTCCACAGGCATCTGCGCAAAGGGAACTATGCGCAGCGTGTCGGCGCAGGAGCCCCCGTCTACCTGGCGGCCGTGCTGGAGTACCTAACCGCTGAGATCCTGGAGCTGGCTGGAAACGCCGCCCGCGACAACAAGAAGACCCGCATCATCCCGCGTCACCTGCAGCTGGCTGTCCGCAACGACGAGGAGCTCAACAAGCTGCTGGGCGGAGTGACCATCGCTCAGGGCGGCGTGCTGCCCAACATCCAGGCGGTGCTGCTGCCCAAGAAGACCGAGAAGCCCGCCAAGAAGTAAAGCCGGAGACCTCCATCTACCACAAAGGCTCTTTTAAGAGCCACCCACTCACATGAAAAGCGCTGCGATACACATGTCTACAGTATTAGGCGCAATATTTGAAACTACAAATGTTTGAAAATACAGTGGATGTTTGTCAAATCGGTCCAACTGATTCCAGTCTATTAGCCAAATTAACCTGATGGTTGATTTCGGGCCACCTTGATTCCTCACAAACAATCCGAGCTCAAACGTTAATTTGAACGACTAGATGTCAGTCATCAGGATAATTGTGCTCCTCCTACTTCTAAATTCACCTCACAAAGTGAAGAAGAAGCCATAAGAATACAAACTGTACGTGTTTCACTTCCATGGCTCAGTGTGCCGAATGCCTACAAGTCCTGTTAAGGTGCCTTATAATATGTATGACTAATAGACATGTATTTGTCTATTCTGGATGAAAAAAAGGTGTGTGTCATGTCTTGACACGTATGTAAATATCAACAGGGTGCCCTGTGATTGTGAATGGTTTGTGTGACGGTCATTAGATGATTTCAGTGCACACAATGATTCTTACAACATGATTCTCAACATGCAACTCTGTTGTGAAACGACAAATAAAAAACAATATTGTGTTAAGTCAAGTGCACTAAAGCGATTCAATCTCAATAGAGAAATCCGCCTAGATGCGATGTGTGTGACGCATGCGCAGTATCACACAGAAAGTAACCAATCAATCTCGAGCAACCGCACAGAAAGATTTGCATCTCGTTCATATATTGACGCCGTCCTGTTCGGATCTCGACATTGTCAATCTACGAAAGCGACTTGAATCATGCCTGAGGTTGTGAAAGCGCCCAAGAAGGGCTCCAAGAAAGCCGTGTCCAAGGCCGTCACCAAGGGCGGCAAGAAAAGGAGAAAGTCCAGGAAGGAGAGCTACGCCATCTACGTGTACAAGGTGATGAAGCAGGTCCACCCCGACACCGGCATCTCCTCCAAGGCCATGGGCATCATGAACTCGTTCGTGAGCGACATCTTTGAGCGCATCGCCGGTGAGGCCTCTCGCCTGGCTCACTACAACAAGCGCTCCACCATCACCTCCAGGGAGATCCAGACCGCTGTGCGCCTGCTGCTGCCCGGCGAGCTGGCCAAGCACGCCGTGTCTGAGGGAACCAAGGCCGTGACCAAGTACACCAGCTCCAAGTAAACTTGACTAGACCACCAACACAAAGGCTCTTTTAAGAGCCACTCACTTCTTCTAAAGATGATCTCCTTATGCTTGTATTTCAAATCTCTTTCCTCATGTGTTCATTTTTAAAAGGGAACATTATTTCCTTAAATTATTCATAATGGTCATAATTCCATGTGTTATAAATTTTAAATTGAAATCTGCAAATTGTTTAATGATTGCTTATCAATTTAAAGCACAAACTGCCTTGTTGCCTGATCTGCATCCATGGTTTGTTTGCTAAAAGGAGTACCAAAAACACACAATAGTGGCTATTATGGTGAAAAATGTGTATCGTCCAACTTATTTCTAGGGAATCTATAAATCTAGGTGAATCTGTTTAATTTAACGGGAGCTCAGAAAGCGCAGGAAGGCAAGGTTGAATATAAATGGAAACATGTCTGACGACATAGCAAAAGTTTGGGCAGGATAGTGTAAAGACACCAGCAGTGGGTCAAAGGTCTCATGTGTGTCTGTAGACACTAGGAGACATCAACCAGAATGAGCCAGTTAGTCTAGCAGCAACATGCCAGAAAGAGGGACAATAGTGGGTCAACATCAGGATAATCACAATGAGGGTGCTTTAAATAGAGACGTCTGTCAGATAAGTAAACACGTTGGAGAAAATAGAACACAGTTCAAACTGAAGTGCGTTCATCCACAACAGTAACCGTATCTTTGATTAGAGGTAAACATAAAAAGTATTGTGTTAATAACTTAAAAGGAAAAGCTCTTTAAGGAGGGATTGGGTGGCTCTTAAAAGAGCCTTTTATAGAAGCATTGGTTCTTCAGACTGATATCAGTTTACTTCTTCTTGGGTGCTGCTTTCTTGGCTTTGGGCTTAGCGACCTTCTTCACTGGAGTTTTCTTGGCTGCAGGGGCCATTTTCACCACCTTCTTGGGGCTCTTGGCCACCTTTTTAGGGCTCTTTGCTACCTTCTTGGGGCTCTTGGCCACCTTCTTGGCAGCTGCGGGTTTCTTGGCCTTCTTCGGTGACTTCTTAGCGGCTACAACTTTCTTCACTGCCGCTGCTTTGGGCTTTTTGGCCGCTGCGGGCTTCTTCGCCGCGGGCTTCTTGGCTTTAGGAGCGGCTTTCCTTGCCGGTTTTTCGGCGGTGGTCTTGCTCATCTTAAAGGAGCCGGAGGCCCCGATCCCCTTGACCTGGACCAGAGTCCCCTTGGCCACCAGGCTCTTGATGGCGGTCTTGACGCGGGCCTTGTTCTTGTCCACATCGTATCCTCCGGCGGTGAGAGCCTTCTTGACGGCGGCAGCAGGCATGTCTTCTGCTAATAGTGCCTTTTACTATACGTAGTTGCAACATTTAATCATCAAATATACTGACCCACTAATGTTAGTTTTTTGGGAAGCTTTTATATGCATATAGGTCGATTATTGTAAATCATTATTTCTATTGTGCTGATGAATTCTATCAGCACAGATGCATTTACATTTAGGTGAACATAACACATGTAATCACTATTATGACTATCATAGCTCGAGACACTATAAGGTAAAATTTCTCTCTTAGTTGTTTTCAGTTTTTATTCCTAAGAAATCATGTTATTGATGTATAATATACATAGCTCAACTTATAATCAACAAACACACTCAAAATCAAAGTTAATCATTACTATTATTATTGTTAAATAGTTCAGTATTCCTAAGAAAAAAATCAAAAATAGTTAGTTCCAAACCTTGTATGAGTGTGGAACCTAAAATGCATTGAGTACCATTCTGAGCAAAAAACACTAAAACAATTCAGAAGCAATAATATGAAATTAGAATGACAATTGAGTTTTATGGCGTATCTCAATCATCAGCATCCACCTTTTTACAAAGGAAGAAAGGAGCAATTTGTGGATTAACGATTGTATTCAGACTAACACTCTGAAATTGCATAATTGGAACGCTTGACATAACAGGAAGACAGGAACAATATTGCATTTCGGATAAAAATAATCTGAACACAGATATTTGCGCCCTTGACTTATATTTATTAACCAATATGTTCTGTTGGGTTTTAACTTGTATTTTTCCAGGGTAAAAGAAAATCAAGACTTATAGTGACGACTATATTTTAAGGACTGAAAAGTATACTTTAACACGCCTGAAAGGTGTGTACAGGGTAAAAGTAAAAAGAAAGTAGTCCTCAACAGGGACCCATTATGCATGTGATGAGACAGAAATATGGAGATCTCTAGAGTTTTTTCCCGAGTGGTTAAAGGATTTTGGGTTCCCTGCAAATGGTTCTCCCAGTAGAACAGGGGTCACCAAACTTTTTTCTCTGGGGGCCACATTATCGTTCCTGACTGTGATGGGGGGCCGGGGCCGGGTCAGCTATATAACAGAGAATTGTATGACCCAGATCAAAATGACCACCAGCAGGCCTCATTGTGTAGTAGAGATTACTAGACTGGAACAGCCATCCACACTACTATATCCCCACTACTATATCAACACTTGATTCCTGGCACATATTTGTTTATCTTTACTAGTGGTTTGCAAAAGTAGTAATCGAGTCTTCACACTTTGTTTTAATTTGAAATATCACAGATATTCCATTTATTTATTTTCAAATAAAAATAACATCAAAGCTGTCAAGGTATGAAACATCTGCTTAGTTGAGGTGATTTGACACTAGCAAAGGTGAGTGAAAAATTATAAATTATAGGCATGTTTATATTAATAATAATATTAATAATAATTGTGTGCAGCACGCCTATAAAATAAATAAATTAATTAAAAAAACATTGAAATTATAATAACTTATATATACATACTTATATATAACTTATATAATAATAACTAGAAAATGCATTTCCTGCTGAAAATGCGTTGGAGTGCGAATGGAATGCTCAGTGTGAGCAGCCTTAATAAACAATGCTTAATGAAAAAATTACTAACCAGCTTCTGATCTCCTTCTTAATATCCATTTTTTTGTTATTTTATTCATGTGTATTTATATTATGTGTATCCATTGTTTTGCTTTGAAAGGCTACTGTTTAAGCACTTTATTTGTTGCACTTTTTTGTTTGATAATGACAAATATTTTTACCTATCTAAACTTGTCATCTTTTGCTGAACATTAATAATTAAGTGCTCTTAAGAATACAATTATTAACAATATAGGTTAGGTTTCAGTTAAGAATTAGTTGAATACCATTGTAATCAAAATGTCAATCAACTTAAATTGGTCAAATGTTAAACACAGGTCTATTAATTAGGCTATAATTGTGGTACATAGACAGTCATTGAGACACAGCAATAGTTTTCTGGTTGAATGTTCAGCTAAAGTCTAGAAGGCCCCACAAGTCATGAGCAGATGAACATGAATCAGAATAAGTTCAGGCATACCACCCAAAAATACACTAGAATGCATGAAATAACATCTACATAAACCAAAATGTCCTGGGGGTGGACCTTCAGCTATGTCTTTGCTTCACAGAATGTAACCAATGTTGTCCATCTCCAGTAGGCCGCCACTATCAACGACTTTGGGCCCCACAAACCACCAGAAAGCAGGGTACAACACGGGTACTACACCAAATGAAAAGTTCCTGATATCTGAGGCACCAACGTGTGTGGCTGTGTGCGCGGCAATATTTTGGTCACCCCCTGACAAAATCTGACTCCATGGTTTTTTGAAAAGTTGGCAGCTCGGTGTATCAAAAGGAGGCATATGATTTTGACACGCAGGACAAAATCACCAGTCAGCTACCAGTGATGTACTCATTGAAGTACATTGGTATTTTATTGCTATGGAGCGACTTCTCAAATCATGAATTGATGGTCACGTTAAGGAATGTGTTCTTTACAGAGAGTGAGGTGGCTCTTAAAAGAGCCGTTGTTGCGAGTAGAATCAGGGGGTTTAAGCTCGTTCTCCGCGGATGCGACGGGCCAGCTGGATGTCTTTGGGCATGATGGTGACCCTCTTGGCGTGGATGGCGCACAGGTTGGTGTCCTCGAACAGGCCCACCAGGTAAGCCTCGCTGGACTCCTGCAGAGCCATAACAGCGGAGCTCTGGAAGCGCAGGTCGGTCTTGAAGTCCTGAGCGATCTCTCTCACCAGACGCTGGAAGGGCAGCTTGCGGATCAGCAGCTCCGTGGACTTCTGGTAGCGACGGATCTCCCTCAGGGCCACGGTACCGGGCCTGTAACGGTGAGGCTTCTTCACGCCGCCGGTGGCCGGGGCGCTCTTACGAGCGGCCTTGGTGGCGAGCTGCTTCCTGGGGGCTTTGCCTCCGGTGGATTTACGAGCGGTCTGCTTGGTTCGTGCCATAATCGACTAGTCTCTCTCTGGTTAAGAGAAGTGAACTCTGTGAGGAGACACGCGGCTCTTAAAGTGTGGACCGGCTGAGGAGCGGTGACGCTGATTCAGACCTCCGGCCCCTGATTGGTGGAGGACTCCTCCTGGAGCTCAGCCGCGCCTCCACAAGAGAGTCTCCGCTGCTTATTGGCGGAAAACTATTTCAAACTGTCCGCCAAGAGCTGCCCGCCCTTGGTTCTCGTGCCTGGAGCCGCCCAGCTCGCTCCACGGACACGTGCATTAGGGTTGTCTCGACTATACAACTATATATTTATTATTGCTAATGTCAAGCTCTGAAACATTTAGTCCACGGCTATAATTTCATGACGATTTCTTATCAGAGCGACGACCTGAGGAAAAATAAACTGTGAGTCTGGTGTTTCTGCCGTATAGTTCTACAAAGAGATGCTTCCAATCATCACTGTAACGGATCCCATATATGAAAGGACGTGAAACTTATTGCTTGTGAAATTACTCCTTTAATTTCTTCTGTCAAAATACAAACATAAAACACCACCGTAAGAGCTTTTTGCCTTCTTGCATCCAGGTCCATTAAACGATTAAAATGTTCAAGGAATAAATCTGCATGAGTCAGTAACAACATCCGTAGCCGTACAGTCAAGCTCACATATGAACATTCCTTTTGCATTCTCAAAATATGTCCTATTCCTTTACCGGAAGGTCTATGGGATTATTTACCATCACACACTTTGAAATAGCAAGATATGACAACATTTACAGGAGCTTGACGCAGCTGATGGCATCACCCTACTCGCATATACCAGAATAAATGCAGCGGAGTTCTCGATAAATACACCTCAAACCAGAAGCATTGAATCAGACAGGAGGTACAGAAGTTTGTAATTAGGTGGCAATTGCTTATGAAAACCCTTACAGTTTTAAAGTAGTTAGAATCTGTGAGCAACCTACAATTATTATAGTTTTAACACCATTACTAGCTTTTGATACTTTTTATTAATTTCAATATTGAGAAAAAGCATCAGGAAATGGTCTTTAGAAGAAGTGGGTGGCTCTTAAAAGAGCCTTTGTGTTGGTGGTCTACATCAGGTTTACTTGGAGCTGGTGTACTTGGTCACGGCCTTGGTTCCCTCAGACACGGCGTGCTTGGCCAGCTCGCCGGGCAGCAGCAGGCGCACAGCGGTCTGGATCTCCCTGGAGGTGATGGTGGAGCGCTTGTTGTAGTGAGCCAGGCGAGAGGCCTCACCGGCGATGCGCTCAAAGATGTCGCTCACGAACGAGTTCATGATGCCCATGGCCTTGGAGGAGATGCCGGTGTCGGGGTGCACCTGCTTCATCACCTTGTACACGTAGATGGCGTAGCTCTCCTTCCTGGTCTTCCTCTTCTTCTTGCCGCTCTTGCTGACGGCCTTGGAGACGGCTTTCTTGGAGCCCTTCTTGGGCGCTTTCACAACTTCAGGCATGATTGGAAACTTCTCTGTAAACTGAGAATGCCTCAATTTCGATAGCACGGTGCTCATATATGAACTAGATGCAAAGTACACTGTGCTGTTGCTCGAGTGTGATTGGTTGCCTTCTGTGTGATACTGCGCATGCGTCACAAACATCGCATCTAAACGGATTTCTCTATTGAGATTGAATCACTTTAGTGATCTTGACTTAACACAAGATTGTTTTTTATTTGTCGTTTCACAACAGAGTTGCATGTTGAGAATCATGTTGTATAAATCATTGCATGCACTGAAATCATCTAATGACCGTCACACAAACCATTCACAATCACAGGGCACCCTGTTGATAATTACATATACACAAACTTCAATTCCTGATGTGTAAAGACGTGACACACATCTGTTTTTCATTCAGAATAGAGACAAATGCATGTCTATTAGTCATAACTAAATATTATAGGGCACCTTAATAGGACTTTTTGGCATTTAGCACACTGATCTGTGAAACATGTATAGTTTATATTCATATTCAGATTATCCTGATGACTGACGTCTAGTTTAAATTAACGTTTGAGTGAGGATTCATTTTTGAGGAATCAAGGTAGCCTAACATCAATCATCGGGTCAATTTGAAATTAGTTAATTAGATCGACTTTGTTGATATCACATTATAGGAATAGCACAATAATTATTGTGCTTACAACTTGAGACATGTGACTTAATTTTATCATGTCATAAAATAATTTTAATTTACTCTATTTAGTTGAACTATACAACTGCTGATGGGAAATTGGGAAATCCACAATTTCTGATTTGTGATCGTCAGCCAACATGAGCTTCTAAAGACCATTTTCGGAGGAAATCTGATAAAATGTTACTCATTCACAGACAACACCTGCAGTTCTTTGATATACGAAAGCATCCAAATGTTGCTCAGACTCCAGAATTTGGCCCATCCATCATCACTGAACATTTGTTTTTTAATGGAGAAAATGTACATTTCAATTAAACATACATAACGGATTGTAATTTAAGAAGAATTATGACCATTTCAATAAATACTGTTCCATTTAAAAAAATAAACACATCAGGAAATAGTTTGTCAACGAAGTGTGAAGCTATTTCAACATGGAGCAGATAAGGCACAAATAGCAAAACATTCCCTCAATTATGTGGAGCAGCAGCCAAGAAGAAGTGAGCTGATATCAGTCTGAAGAACCAACACCTCTATTAAAGGCTCAATCCTTCCTTAAAGAGCTTTTATCCTTTAAAACGTTTAAGTTTTATTCAGCGAGACTATTCTACAAAGAAATCTTGAATAATACATCTACCTTATTCGTCAGACACTCGGTCTTTATTATACAAAAGCATCCAAATGTTGCGTACCTTCATATTACACATCTCATGCTACAATCAACTTAAATTCTAAAGGAATATTATATCTTTAGAATTTGTCATCAACTGCCAGGCGTCTGATTCATACGGCAGTAAAGTCAGATGTTGAATCAGGAATCAGGAAACATTTATTACCAAAATATGTCAAACATACAAGGAATTTGTCTTGGCGGTTGGTGCGCGACAGTAGACAGTGTGACAATAGACAACAAGACAGCAGTGCACAAGTAATAAAGTAAAGTAAAATGCTAATGCAATGGGTTAGTAGAATAAGGCTATGGGTTAGTATAAAACAATGGAATAAAGTTAGTTAAAAATGTAAAATATAAAAAAAAAGTTAAAAAACATATTAAGCATAAAGTGCACTGGCGAACAAGTAAAGTGACCAGTGATGACAAAGTGATAAATTACAGTTAAAGTGACATGTGCAGTGTGAAGGGGAGTGACCGGTGGAATGTTATGAGGGGGTTATGAAAGTAAATCCATCTACATCCTCAAGTGTCTGATTTATAACTGTAAAGTTCTCAAGTTAGCTGCAGTGGTGTCCTTTCTACCTGATGCATTAAAAGGTTGTGAGGTAATGATAAAGTTGTGACCTTATTAGGATGACCTTAATAAGTAGGACCACGTAATAGACAAAGTATGAGGATCACATCTCTTTTCGTGTGGGTGGGTGGCTCTTAAAAGAGCCTTTGTGGTGGATGGAGGTCTCCGGCTTTACTTCTTGGCGGGCTTCTCGGTCTTCTTGGGCAGCAGCACCGCCTGGATGTTGGGCAGCACGCCGCCCTGAGCGATGGTCACTCCGCCCAGCAGCTTGTTGAGCTCCTCGTCGTTGCGGACAGCCAGCTGCAGGTGACGCGGGATGATGCGGGTCTTCTTGTTGTCGCGGGCAGCATTTCCAGCCAGCTCCAGGATCTCAGCGGTCAGGTACTCCAGCACGGCCGCCAGGTAGACGGGGGCTCCTGCGCCGACACGCTGCGCATAGTTCCCTTTGCGCAGATGTCTGTGGACGCGACCGACTGGGAACTGGAGTCCAGCACGAGAGGAGCGGGTCTTTGCCTTCGCTCGGGCCTTTCCACCGGTTTTGCCTCTGCCGCTCATTGTTAGACTGTTTCAGGGAAGGAAGTGTCTGTGAACGCGTCAAACCCTCCTTTATATGTCCGCGGAGCGGGCGGGACGGTTCCTGACGCGCGCACCAACCAGAGAAGAGGCTCCAGACACGAAGACAGAGGGCGCGAGCTCACCGTTTTTAGCGGGCAGTTTGAAATTATTTTCCACCAATGAGCAGCGGAGAGGCAGGCTTCTAGAGGCACGGCTGAGCTCCAGGAGGAGTCCTCCACCAATCAGGGGCCGGAGGTCTGAAACAGCGTCACCGCTCCTCAGCCGCCCGACTGCCTCTGATGAATCCTTAAATCTGCTTTTACACATTTCTGCAATGTTGGTATTAAAAATGAATGGTAAGATTTCTGACTTACTGACTTAAACAGGAGCCTTCAGTGATATACGCACCAGTTTGACTGCACAAAGCAATCATGTAACCAATGAGGTGCTTCAAAGGGTTCTGATTAGGTGCCACATTGTTGTCATGAATGTCCCCCATTAATATCAGTGAGTGCTGGAGCTAACTGACATTTATCTCAAGATCTCCTTTATTGCTTTGCTAAAGAACAAGAGGCTCTATAATTCTGAAGCTCCTAATACTGGTTAACTTCATAAGATCATCTCCCTTTACTGTCTTCTATGTGAGTGCAAGTACATATTATGTAAACACATTCATGTAAAGTACGAGCAGCTCAGTGGTATGGTATCAATGGTACTTACATGTAAGATGATTTCCTCCAGTGTTAAATTAAATACAATTGTCACTGCAGTTATAATGGTTACATAGATCTTTGAATCATAAAAACTTGGGATACTCATCCTTGCTACTCATCGATGCTTATGGTGAGATATATGCGGGCAATGAGGATTAATGGCAACAAATCTAAATTACAAGATTGATTCCTTGTTCCCGTTTTGTACTTCATGCATTTTCCACTGTCTTTAGCAGTGTCTAAGTTTCCCTCTGGTTGATAAATTTCTTTAGATGCTCACACTTGTTCAGTTGTTGGAATTTAATGAATTCAATTGATCAGTGAACAATTGATATTTTCTAGAACGCTAAAAATAAATCTACTGCTCTAATATACATTATTTTCATGCACATTTATCAGGTTCCGATGATTTCAGACTCAACTTTTCCCTTGAAAATGTTATTCAGCTACAATAGTGATTAATCATTAAAGATTAATCCCAGCTATATTTTCAACAGCTGAATAATGAAGGAAAAGCTCTTTGAGGAAGGAGTGGGTGGCTCTTAAAAGAGCCTTTTATAGAGGTGTTAGTTCTTCAGACTGAGGTCAGTTTACTTCTTCTTGGGTGCTGCTTTCTTTGCTTTGGGCTTAGCGACCTTCTTCACTGGAGTTTTCTTGGCGGCAGGGGCCTTTTTCACCACCTTCTTAGGGCTCTTGGCCACCTTCTTGGGGCTCTTGGCCACCTTCTTGGGGCTCTTGGCCACCTTCTTGGGGCTCTTGGCCACCTTCTTGGGGCTCTTGGCCACCTTCTTGGCCGCTGCGGGTTTCTTGGCCTTCTTCGGTGATTTCTTAGCGGCTACAACTTTCTTCACTGCCGCTGGTTTGGGCTTTTTGGCCGCTGCGGGCTTCTTCGCCGCGGGCTTCTTGGCTTTAGGAGCGGCTTTCTTTGCCGGTTTTTCGGCGGTGGTCTTGCTCATCTTAAAGGAGCCAGAGGCCCCGAGCCCCTTGACCTGGACCAGAGTCCCCTTGGCCACCAGGCTCTTGATGGCGGTCTTGACGCGGGCCTTGTTCTTGTCCACATCGTATCCTCCGGCGGTCAAAGCCTTCTTGACGGCGGCAGCAGACACGCCGCTCCGCTCCTTGGATGCGGCAACAGTTTTCACGATGAGGTCAGAGACGCTGGGACCGACCTTCTTCGGCTTGGACGCCTTCTTCTTGGCTGCTTTGGGCGCGGCGGCGGCTGGAGCTGGAGCTACTTCTGCCATTTTGTCCAGTTGTTGTGCGTTTGTATCGTCGAGGACTCGAGAGAGTGAGACTGATGAAGAGCTCAAAGCAGCGGACTGTACTTAAACGCACCATGAGAACCGTAGAGACTCAACCCAGCCCGGAGCTCCTCGTGCAGCCTGAAAGTCGAGTCACTTGTGTTTTCTCTCCACTGATTAAAGACTAAAAACTAAATGTGCATCAGGTGCTGGAGGCTGAAGGTGGAGGAGCCGATAGCGGACTAGTTTCTCTTCATGTTCAGGTCACGTAGAGCTCTGATGATCGATGCGTTTTGTTTGAGGAGCCTCCAAACCTCACCTACTCAGCGCCGTGGACAGCAGTGATCAGCGGCTTTTCCCACTCATTTCTCTCTTAAAAGTATTTAAATAACATCATATCGCCATCAAAAGTCGTTTTCCATTTGATCCACATGCTTATTCAGGTTCTCAATGTGAAAACAACCATCGGATGTTGATCAGTTTGTAATAAACTGCAGTTATCCCGGGAGCAGCAAACACACTGATGACGGTGAAGGCTTATAGCTGCTCGGCGGACATGTCCTCTGCTGAAAACACTTATTAGTTCAACTTGTAATCATCAAACATGTTGCCTCTTTTGGAAAGCATGAATGTTGCAATGTAACTTATTTTACCAGTGATAGTTTTCAGCTGAATAAGGAAGTCTGCACTGAAATTTGGATTTTGATAACAATTTCCACATAATCCTTATTATTGTTATGAATACTTATTCCGATCATCATTATTGTCAAGCATTCAACATAAATTTTGTAAAAGATTCAGCCCAAGCGTTCATAGCTTATTTTACTCGTCTAACTTAGTTGCACATTTGCCAGCATTGTGTTTCTGGATATTACAGTCTGCTCAATGGTAGCTCCTCTTGCACAGTTCAAACTTACAATCCAGGATTGCAAATGTCATTTTTGGTTAAAACACCAAATGAAACCTAGCTTTTGATTGCAAAGTAGTCGTATACATCGAAATTCACAGTCGAAAACACAGATGAGGGCCTGGGGGCATAGACCAGACCTAGACGTACATGTTATAACACAGCAGCCTGGAAACCCTAACCAGCAGTAGCAGTCTATCATTTTCCCATATATTATAGATTTAAAGAAATATATTGTTTAAAGATCCCTTTTGAAGATGAGTACTGGTATAATCATGGACATGTAATTAGATTATATAACTTTTTGATCAATTTGCACTTTTTGTATAAACAGGTCCATGTGATATAGATTATGTACTATCTGAACAGTGTCTAATTTACAAATGTTTCAGACCCCTTCAATCTGAAATGTTTCAATAGTAGATTGAGTACATCCTCTTGATATTGGCATGCAGAGGGGCGGATTGGCCGTTGGGAATACCCCTGGTGGGCCTATGGGTTTGGGCTTGCCCAATACCGGCCCACCTGTCACCAACGGGCATCTGACGTCGCCAAACCCAACTATATTCTGCTTACAGCAGGAGATCGCAGGGGAGACATGCAGGTGGTGTTGGATTGATTTCTGGTATCATACGTATCAGGTATCTTGATTTTTATGACAGGTTATTTTTTGCCCATGGTGATTGAGTTTGACACCGCTCCCCGCTCTAGCCTACTCAACGCTCACTCGCTCGCAGATGAAGCATGGTCTTTCTCTGCGGACATTCCTTAAGGCTTAAAGCTCTGTAGTTATACGTATAACCATCTGATCCTAGCCCAGAGTTACGCATAATCATCTAGCAAAACTATACCTAACTTTGACTGTTACAATAAAACCATCCCTCTTTACACCGCTTATCCTGCACACAGGGTCACAGGGGGGCTTGAGTTGTGAGAGAGTTGGGAGAGATGTGGGCGCACTTCAATTCGATTTCCTCTAACAAGGTTGGCAGTAGGCAGGCAAAGTCTGTCATTTGTATTGTGTAATTATGGAGGTTTATTTTTATTGTGGAGACCTCCAGATATTTGGCTGAGCCAAACGTTCCACGGAGTGAAGACCCGCTAAAATATTGGGTCAAACAAACATGTGTACCCACATCTATTTGTATTAGCATGTAATCATTTGAGCATTCCTGCCTCATCCGTGCCATGTGAGCGCGTTTCTTCTAAAGCTGCGGAAACAGTATCTACAAAAAGAAACAGACTCAACCCCAATACTGTGAAGAAAATTTTGTTTCTCAATAAAAATCAATAATAATTTCATGTCCCATCCCATGTGTCCATAAGCACCTCAATATCCTGTCATAAGAAACCTGTCAGCACAATCACTGCCCCACTGACCTTTCCTCTGTAAATCACTTCCCACATTCAAACAATTCACATAAGTCCCTATGACTGCACATGCAGTAGGAAGCACTTGCTGGTATTTTAAATTATATTACCTACATATAACTGGGCCAAAATATACTGGTAGGCTATTCGATACATATGCACTATAGGTTTTCAACAGCGGTCATATAGTTCATATAGTTTGCGATGCATTGAATGAATGAACCTTTTTCCGATACAATTGGCTGGAAAGCTTCAGTGGTTCAAAAAGCTTTACTTTGCCATCACTACTGGTCAATACGTGCGATAAATTGAATGGGCCAGTACTTTTTTCCCCCTAATCTACATTCTGGCTAGTACTCATTTTAAGCTATAAGCTATAATTATATATATATATATATATATATATATATATAGATAGATAGATAGATAGATAGATAGATAGATAGATATATTATATATATATATATATATATATATATATATATATATATATATATATATATATATATCTATCTAGATATCTATCTAGATATCTATATAATATATATATATATATATTATATATATATAATATATATATAATATCTAGATATTATATATATATATAATATATATATAATATCTAGATATTATATATCTAATATATCTATCTAATATATCTATCTAATATATCTATCTATCTAATATATCTATCTAATATATCTATCTAATATATCTATATATATCTATATATAGATATAGATTCTGAAATATTTCTGGAAAAGCAAAAGTATTGGGTACAAAATGTTCAGATATTTTGAAAACTTTCACTACCTCACTATCTTACTGGTAGAGAGAACATATGCAACAATATTGCCATTTTTAGTAACTCCTTATAAGGACATCAGCTATTCAGAGAGAGTGCGTGGCCCTTAAAAGGACCGTTTGGTTGTTTTACTGAAGCCGCTGTTTATCCTCCGAAGCCGTACAGGGTGCGTCCCTGTCTCTTCAGGGCATAGACCACATCCATGGCGGTCACCGTCTTCCTCTTGGCGTGCTCGGTGTAGGTGACGGCATCGCGGATCACGTTCTCCAGGAAGACCTTCAGCACACCGCGGGTCTCCTCGTAGATCAGACCAGAGATGCGCTTCACTCCGCCGCGGCGAGCCAGACGGCGGATGGCGGGCTTGGTGATTCCCTGGATGTTATCACGGAGGACCTTACGGTGACGCTTGGCGCCTCCTTTGCCGAGTCCTTTTCCTCCCTTTCCTCTTCCGCTCATGTTGTCAGATAAGTTTGAAACAAGATGAGCCTACAGCGTCAGTTCAAAGATATTTAAACCCAGTCGGAGGACGTGATAGGAGACAGAGGCGGGGCTTGATCTTATTCACATAGCGCCCCCTGCTGAACTAGCCCATTAATAATCAACCTTCGTCACCTCTGTCATTGTGCCTCAGATACCTAAACATTGTCCAAAGTACAGCAATATAAAAGACAATGATGTTTGGGCTTACAAAGCCAAATCACCAGATATTATGATGCAATCGGAGGGAGGATGAGACAACCATCTGATGGATATACTGTGTTACACAGGAGTGAAAACTCCAGTTAAACTGTGTCTACCTAGCTGCAAGGAAAACCAAAGCAGACAAAAAGCTTTTGCTGAAAAAAATGTTTTATTTTAAAAAATGACTTCTTTGATCTTTGTAGAACTTCTTTGGAAAGTTGAAACCCCTGACAAGAAAAACCAGGAAAAACAAGAAAAACCCTGCAACTTACCAAAAAAAGCTTAATTTAACCGGTATGAGTATAACAAATAATAATCATGAGAGTATGACAGT